GCAAAGACGGCAGCGATGAACTGACCGCGGCGGCTGCTGGACGCAAACTCACTCGTGATGACGGCCGAGACGGGGTAGTCACCGCCGACGCCGATACCCAAGATGAAGCGCCAGACGGCAAGCATGATGAGGACGTTGTCGGCCTCGCCGTTGACGGGCCAGACAGCGAGTGCGCAGAGAAGCGCGCCAAAAATCAAGATGATGAGCTCAATGCCGTACACCTTCTTGCGGCCGAGGATATCGCCGAGGACGGCGAACGAGAGCTGACCGACCGCGTTACCCCACGACGACGCGGCCTTGACCCAGCCATCGGCGCGCGACGACGGAAGACTGCCCTGGTGGTAGTACTCCCACGCAATCATGGGCACGATGAGGCCAATGACAAAGTTGTCGTACGAGTCGACGAGGAAACCAGAGCCAGCGACAAGCATCGCACGGAGATGCGCCTTGGAGAACGTGGCCTCATCAAAGTTGGCAAACACCTCGCGGCGATTATTGACGGGCGGGATGCTGGCCATTGAGGTCAAATTGAATTGTGACCAGTAGCTTGGACCGCGAGGTCGTGTGGTGAGATCGGCAAACGGAAAGAAAGTTAAGCGTACTGTGCTGTTGCGAAATGGAAACAATGCTAGATTCCCTAGTCCTTTCTGTGTCAGCAGCCATCGGTGGTGCCAAAACGAGGCTGTGTCGTGCAAAAGCCCAGGACGCGGCGCAACCCGTGTACTCGTCGTACTCTGTACTCAGTTAGCGCTATCGCCGTGCCAAAGGCTCGCGAGGTCAGCTCGACGAAGATGCGCACACCTGTCACGACATATACGACCGAATCTGGTAGACCCCACACAAGATTCGAATCGCCAGAAGCTATCGCCAGCAACAGCTATCGCCAGCCAGACGATCGATCAGATCTTCGATATTTAATAACCAAGACAGAATTGCAGTACCAAGGCCGAGGCGAGCCGTTTGCTCCCGCAATGGAGGTAGTTTGCTGGGCCCGAGGCAGCGCATGATGGGGCGTCCGTGGCTTTGGCAGCGAAAACCAAGCAAAAGGTCGATCGTATTCTGCAATCTTGTTCGGACAAGCAGCAGGCACTGGCAGCGCTTTGCCCATCGCACCGGACGCAAGCAGGTTCCGAGGTCACAAGGAGTAGCTTGACACGGGGAGTGTCTTAAGAGCAGGTTTTCGATGCAGCGGACTACAGCAGCACGCGTATGCCCAAGACATGGCAGACGGAGCTCTACTAAACGCTCCTAGGAAGTCCCTGGGAGCTTCTTAAGAGCTTCGCGGGAGTCGTCCGTTGGAACATATGTGTTACTACTGCATGCGTACACCACCACGGCAGCGGTTCGGAAACTTCAATATTCGAGAATTTACGGAACCTGGACTTGCTATCCATTTTGTCTCAGCGTCTCGAGCGCATTGGCGACGAATCCTTTCGCACATCTGAGGTGGTCCTGGTTGAACTGTGACCCGATATTTGTATGAGACATGGTCCACGTTCCGCCGATCCTGGCCACCAGCGTGCCGCTCCAAGTGCCCCATGTTGCAGCGTGCTAGTACGACTGCAGTGTCGATGCTCTCGAAGCAATACACCGCAGGAACAATGCTTCACATAGCCTTGACGCCTCCTTGATTACGTAGTATCGAGGTTTGAAGCAGAAGGGGGATTAGGGCTAGGGTACGCACGGTACAATATCAATTTCTTTAGCAACTTGGAATCTCCTTCTTTCAATACACCTCGGCGTTTACCCAGGTGCACTGTTCATGCTTGCTCCATGCGCACGGAGAAGGCCGTCGTCGACCGCGTCCGCACCTGAACCTCGTACGATTTTCCTTGCAAAATGGCGTCGACAGCGACGGCGGCATCGAGGACAACGCGCCACGTATCATACTCGCCTTTGGCGAGCTCGACAACCACGTCGAAAATGGGCGCGTCACTGCGCTCCGCACACATCTTATGCACGCTGCCATCGGGCCCTTTCCGCGCATTGGCGTCGCCGACCGTGACGGCTTCGACACCGCCGACAAGCGCTCGCAATGGCTTGTTCTTGAGTAGTTTACGTAGCGTGCCGTGGGCCGACGCAATCGTACGCACACCGCGCTGCTGACACGTGCGCGCGGCTTCGACTTCGGTCGGTCGGCCAATCTCGTCAATCACGAGCACCTCGGGCGTGTGGTTCTGGACGCACTCGACCATGACCGCCGCCTGCGCGTTCAAGCACGGCACCATCATGCGCCGGGCGAGGCCGACGCAGTGGTGCGGTACATCGCCATCGCCAGCAATCTCATTGCTCGTGTCAATGATGCACACGTTATGGCGCTGGCTCAAATGCCGCGCCACGTCGCGCACCAGCGTCGTCTTGCCGCACCCTGGCGCGCCAAGGAAGAGAACGTTCTTGGCCGTGTCGGCAAGGATATCGGCGAGCATGTCGGCACATCCTTCCATGTAGCGGCCAATCCGCATTGTGACGCCAATCACGTCACCGTTGCGGTTGCGCATCGCACTAACCCGGTGGAGTTGCCGCGCGAGACCTGCTCGGTTGTCCGTGCCAAAGCCTCCGACCGTCGCTACAACACGCGCAACGTCGTCGACACCGACCACCGCCGTGGGGTCTGTCGCGAGAAAGAGCCGTTGGCCACCGACCCACGCCCACGGACACCGACCCACGCCCACGGACGCCGACCAACGTCGAGATCAATGTCGTGCACGTGGGGTAGCACCTCGGGCGCCAAGAGCTGGGCGGCCCACGGCGCCGGCAACAGACTCGAAATCACATTGGTCACATCGTCTTGATGAAGAACCAAAGTCTTCGAAGCGTCCATTCGGCTCGGGGGTAGGAGCTCGACCGACGCCAGCTGTTGCGACACCGCGTCAAACGCGACTTGGCGCACGGACGATGTCAAGGCGGCCGTGATGCGCACGGAGGACGCGTCTTCCAACTGCGCCAGTCGGTCCGACGTGGCGCACAGCCACGGCTGGAGCTTCACGTAGGCTTGCTGAAGCAGAAGACTGTGCCAGGTGGCAGCCTCGAGCAAGTCGTGCGAGAGGGGGCGGTTACCGAGCGCTGTTGCTGCGCGTGCGTGGCAGTGTTTCTGCGGCGGAGGCTCCATCCCAAGCATTAGGAGCAGCGCGTGAAACGCGTCGTCGCTAGCGACACCCGTCTTGGCTTCCAGTGCCAGCTCGAGGTCCAGAACGGCCGTCAAAGGACACACCGTCGCCGACTCAGCCAGTGCCCCCAAGAGGAGCCCAAAGGTATACACGTCAAAGGCGAGCTTTGGCACAAATGGATTCTGCAGAGTCGCACGCAGCTCGTGCCACACCAAAGCTGGCGAGATCAACTTGCAGTCGACGAAGAAGACCGTGCTACCCACAGTGAGCTGCAGCACCGCCAGCGCGGCGGTCGGCCCCAATATGTCAACGCCGATCGGCCCATTGTGTGTGACAAGGTCCGCCGACGCCACGAGCGTCTGAAGGTGGAGAAGCGTCGTGATCATGACAAACGTTCCCGGAAGTGCTGGCATTGGCAACGACGGTGGCATCGGAGGGGACAGCGCGACGCGGCGTGGGGTGCTTGGGGGTGGGAGGGGCAGCATTGAGGCTCCCGCCGTTCGAGAAACAATGTACTCGCGCCCAATCGTATCGATCTTGAACTGCAGCGACTTGTCGCGCTTGAGCAACTCGACAATGCGCAGCGTGGTCTGGCGCCGCTGGGAGTTGGAGAGGTCGGTCATTGTCTTTGCCAAGCTAGATACGTAGCATGGCGACTTGTTGGCGCAGCAGAAATTGACGCGTTCACGCACCCGCGCAACCCGCGTCTCGAACGGCACGTCGTCTGCGCTGGTCATCGCCGAAGGAAAAGTAACAAGCAGTTGACCGCATCCATCGACATCACTCGGTGGCCTGTCGGTCCAGTCCTGTCATGTAGGAACAGTTGGGTCCATCCAAGGCCGGTTGTTCTGGACAGAATGTCGGTGACCTCCATACATATTGTCGTCGACTCAACCGTAGCGCTAGGCTACTCTAAACGGTAGAGGTTTTCGAGTGCAAGTGTACAGCAGACGATTGCCCGCCACCGTCGGCAGCCTGGTCGTCGTTGCAAAATATTTGCGATCTGCGCTGTCGTTCGTGATTGGCTTTTATTTTGACCAATCCAGATGCATTTAGGCCTGTTTTCACCGCGGATTGGCTCGTTTTTCATACATTGCTGGACCAGTCATCATTGTGTGAAAGTGTTGACGGCGGGCAATGCAGCGGGTCGCGAAGCAGGGCCTTCGCCGATGGCTCTCGTCGACGCACTCGAGCCCGCTCACGAAGCACTTTAATGAGAACCCGGAGAAGGCCATGGCCGTCTTCCGCGGCCTCGACACGCTGGGCATGGTCCCGGACGCGGTGCAGGTGCGCGGTATCCTCGTGACGCTGAGCCGCGGCCAGCACGCCGCCGAGGTGCGCGAGGTGCTCGAGTACGCCATCAAGCGCGACGTTGCAATCAACTGGAACGACTTCTTTCGGAGCGGCGTCGAGCACGCGCAATCGTCGTCGAGCGATCTCATTGCGCTCTTTGAGTCGGCGGTCGCGATCAACCCGTCGGCGATGCCGACCTCGAGCTACATTACAATGATCCGCCAGTGCCTCAAGACGCGCGACATGGCGCGCGCAGTCGCTCTCTACAAGCACATTCAAGACCACGACTTTAAGCTGCACCAGCTCAACAAGAGCGTCATGCGCGTGCTCAGCGAGCTCGGCGTCGCCGGCGTGGACGCGGCGGCTGTCGCCAAAGCGCAAAACCTGACACTCGACATGTACGTGCACCGCACGCGGTCGGACGGCGACATGGCCGCGTACTTGGAGGCGGTTCTCGCCGTCAACCCGAGTTGTCTCGTCTCGTGCCTGCGCATGATCTTGCGCAAGGACACGTCGCCCGTGCCCGACCATCGGCACGACCAGATCCAAACGCACATTGCCGACGCGACGCCGATCTTTGACTACTGCAGCAAGCACGATCTGGAGATTCCGCCGGAGCTTTTCACGTGGTACTTTCTCAAGTGCAAGCGCATCCACGCGAACCCGAGCGCGGTCGTGACGCAGTTTCTGGCCATGATGAGCGCCGGCCGCGTCTCGCTCAGCGTCGCCACGTGCATGTCAGCGGTGCACAGCTGCGTTGGCGTCCGCGAGAACCAGCTCGCGATCGAGGTGCTCCGCGTCGCCATCGCCCGCGATTTGCCGATGGACCAGTGGCACTACAACACGGCGCTCTGGCTCTGCTCCAAAACGACCGACTCGCACATGGCGCTCGCGCTCTTCAACCGCATGCGGGCGACCGAGACCATTGCGCCGAGCGAGAAGACGCTGACCGCCGTCCTCTTGAACTTGCGGCAGTCGACGACCGGGTGGGACCTCCCGACCGTCCTCGCCTACTTCGCACAGCACAAGATCAAACCCACGAGCTGGGAATACTCGCAGCTCGTCGAGATTTTGTCGTCGACGCCGTCGATCGCTTACCCGGTCATGGAGCAGCTCAAGCCGTCCAAGACCGATGCGCCTCAGCCGCCGACCAAGAAGCAGCCAACCGAGAAGCCCAAGCGCACCCCGATCCACCAGACACACCGGCCGCGAACTGCGTCGTCCGAGTCGCGCCGGGAAGCGTACAACCCCCATAGCCGCGACCACCGCAGTAGTAGCAACAAGGAGCGGCGTCTGCCCAAGTCGTGGCAGCCGCGGCAAGAATCGCCGTCCGAGGCACCCGAGCCGCCGAAAGCACCAGAGCCCAAGAAGGAGAGCAGCTGCAGCATCATGTAAGGCGTTCGAACATGCACCACTTTTGTTCAGTTGAGTTACCGCCGTTGGGGAATCTGCGTACGGACATGGAAATAGCGTTGTAGTCACTGGCCTCGGCCAAGGGTATATACGATAAGCCCAGGATGTCGGCGCGTTGAGATGGCACTTGATGGTCATAATCGCCGACAAGAGCCGATGCAGCTGGCTCTGGATACGCGGGTGTGGCGAATGAATCCTACGCATCGGATACATTGGATACTTGGATACATTGCGTTTGGATAGACCCACCGCGCAATGAGCTGCGGGATAATGAAGTTTGGAATTTGAAAAAGTAGTGTTTTCTGACCGAAAACGAGTAGTTTGAGGAGGGTTTTGGATGTAGGTCATGGGTGATGGTTGCATTCAAAATGGCGTGCGTTTAGTCGCACGCCAAATCTAGTGGTTTGTCGACAGCTTGGGACTCTGCACGTCGTTGCACACGCCATTTTGGGACCGCATGGAGCCACTCGGGGTGCACGTTGTGGACGACCACCACCACGTGCTCGAGCCCATTCACCGCGTAGGCTGCGCCATGCATGCGGCTTCTAAGAGGCTTGCTATGGGCTAGGCCATTCGGCAGCGGCGCCTGCCCTTTGCCAACTTTACGATTGTGCATTTGGACGCGCACGCCGACTTGGCCTTTCCACCGAGTCTTCCGGCGGCGACCATCTTCTCGCCCGACGCCTTGTACGACGGCCTCGACGCCTCCGAGGCAGGCATTGCATCGTTCTTGCTACCATTGGCGTACGCCGGCCACATGCACCGCCTCGTATGGATCAAGCCACCGTGGGCGACGCAGGTAGACGTCGACGATCGTCCTCGCACGTCATTATGAGACTGCAGATGGCCATTGGGACGCACGCCTTTGACGTTGGCCAGCACAAAGCGACAGGTTGGCGCTTGTTCATGGACGCAGCCGACAGAGCGCGTAGGCTGCCTTGGCGTGACGAGCCACGAGTCGTACTTCATCGATGAGAACCTCTACGCGCCACGCGACGCGCTCGACAAGCCAGCGTACGTCTCTAGAGGAGCTGCATCGGAATGACTTTAGTTTGTAGGTCGCTGGAGCTCACGGTGGCCGAGCTCCCGGCGGCGCCAGTGCCCGAGGGCCCCTATGTGCTCGACATTTGCCTCGACTACTTTTCAACGCTCAACCCATTTCGCCAAGGTCGCTCTGTGCTGCCTCTACTCGCAGTGGCGTCATGCGGTCGTAGATATTACGCGGGCGATGGGCGAAGACACGGCGTCGCTCCTCTCTTGTATCTATGGCGATCTCTCCTACAAGGTAGGCTCGTCTGCTCTCGTACTCGACTGGTCTTACCCGTGAGAAAGAAGAAGACTGTGGAGCTACCGCACAGCACTCGGCTCGAGCACGGCCGCCTCTTTGCATCGTACGAGAGCAGCAGGATACAAAGTGGCATCATCGAGTCGTAGGACCATCAAGACGCTGTTTCGAGAACACATATGGGACGACGGCGCCGCCTATGATGCCCACGTACCGTCTACGAGGTGGAAGACAAAATTGCACATACAAACACATCTAGATGGCACCGCTCATCGACGTGTATACGCTGTCGCCGACGGCCATTGTCGAGCAGTTTGCGGCTTTTCGCAAAATTTTGCTCGCTGCGTCGAGCGACGAGCTGGCTATGGTACGTATAATGATGTATCGTACAACAGGTATGTAAATGTCGTTGTGCCAGATGGAGTGGGCGGGACCGTGCATGGACCTGCCACAGCACAAAGCGTCCGACGACGAGATTGAGGGTTTGCTTGGTGCCCTCGAGACGTTTTTGACCACAGCTGGTATGTGTACTTTGTACTGCTGTCACAGTGGTAACCGGCGTCGGTAGGTCGCCCGCGGCTCGTGACGATCGCAGAGTCCAAGGACGACGAGTACACGCCACCAGGCCAAGTCGAGATGCTTCTTTCGCGCGTGCTGGCACTCCTGGGTCGTCAATTTGGCGCCCTCGACGTCTCGTACGACGACCAGAACCAACAAGACGCTTCGTAAGCCACACACATGTATTCCTTTTGAGCTAGTAGAGGTTGGCGATGCTCTGGTATGTCTGAGAGCAGTATGCAGCGAGCAAGATGCGGGCGACGGGACACGTCTGCATCGCGCCACTTGTATAGCCGCACGACGCACTCCATTCGGTTTGGATTTGAGCGTTCGTAGGCCGCCACGCACAGACGTCGCTTTGAGTAAACGGTCGATTGGGTGGCTGCAGCATTCGGAGCTCCCACGTATCACCAAGAAAGCCCGTGTGGTCTTGCCTACACATAGTACCGTTCGAACAATCTCATCTCTCAGTTGCAAACTACCCGCCAAAGAGCACCAGTCTAAGCTCGGACGAGGTTTCGAGGCCGGCGACAGCGCTAAAGTATCGCTGTCGCGGTCGCGTTCCCGCCACCGGAATGTCGGCAAGGGGATCGCCCGGAGCGCTGATGCTCGAGTACATCAGCTCGACCATGGCCGTGCTGTCGTCGAAGATTGGAGCGGTGAGCCCGGACGAAATGCGCAGCAGCTCAAAAGGCGAGAGGTACGAGAGGTGTCCCGACGGTCGGTGGTAGCGCTGCAATGGCACGGCAGAGAGTGTGACCCACGCATTGCCTAGATCACGTGCTCGTGACCAATTTCCCATGCAAAATGGTGGCTCTACTCGAGCTGCCTGGGACGTAGTCGAGTCGGTAGAGGTCGTTGACACTGACGAGACCGGTGGTTTTGCCACCATAGACAAACATACTCGTGCCAACGACGACCGCAGCATGCTCGTACCGAGGCGTTGGCGGCACACCGGCGATCAAAGGCGTGAGGTTACTCCACTGGTAGCTCGGTACACACGGTTTCTACGTTCTTGAGGGTTGTACTACTCGATGCCGGTCCCACGTACCATTGTCCATGCAATGTTCCAGCTGAGAAGCACGCCACTGTTGCCGTCCTGGGTCGTGTCGTGGATCTAGCGCCGCACTCAGCACGATCGAACGCTTCTCGCTCAGCGAACCTGTAGCGTCCAGACGCCCCCCGCGGGCAGATGCAGGAACGCCTCAAATGGCTCCAACGGCCGGTTGCTCGCCGAGCCATTTGACGAAAACGTCAGGGTTGTTGCCCCTGGCGTGCACGCTGAGGCATTGGCAGACGCAAACAACTCGACCCGGTGACCCCTAACCACAGCAGTGAGCCACCTCGTTGTTTCGATTCGTGGCACCGCGTGGACGGAGCGGTGGGCGTCGTCCGCGATCGTCCGAATGTCGTTTGGTTGAAGCTGTCGATGGACCACGTGGCTTCCGCGGACGCACTTACGCCCGAGATACTGTCCTCTTGAAGCGGTGAAAAGGTATCGGGGCCCGGCCCGTACAAGCCAATCTCGAGCGAGGACAGACACGCGTGCTGGACGACAAGCGTGACCGTCAGCGCTGCTATGCACGTCACCGAGACATCGGTGCGTGCGACGGCCGTCGTCCAGAGATCCAACCCGTCCGGGATCGCCAGATTGACGCCAGTGGTTGCACCGGTGGTCACCGTACTCCAGACGCTCGCACCTGTGAGCAACCACACATCTATCGACATTCTTGGATGGTAAGCGAGTTTGGTCGGTACATGTTCTACCGTTGAAGAGCGCCGGCGAGTTGTCCGCTTGCAGCTGCCGACCCCCAAACACGAGCATGTTCGCACCTCCTAGGTTGACGGCCGAGTGCTTCTCCCGCGGACTAGGACCACCAGGTACGAGCAGCTGGAGCCTAAAGCGCCTCATGAGTTGATACCTCGTGTATTACAAACCAGGTTTGCGTTCGCGAGTGATAGCGCCAGAGCTCATTGTTGTCGCGCGCACTCGTGCTGCAGTCGCCCGTATTGCCCCGCTGACAGGCATAACCAGGGCCGAATCTACGCGCGTTCACGTTACATGACGCCAAGTGGAGCCCAATGTACCCGCCAAAGAGATAGACAAACGCTTCAATCGCAACAAGCGAGTGCCCGCGACGGAGCGACGGTGCCGGCTGACTCTGCGCCGTCGGTGCATCTGTGTGGTACAAGCCCGCGCCAACATTGCCTTGCATCAGCTGCTTTGGTGGGACCCATGTCCACACATTCTCGGGGACGTTGGCAGTAGTAGTGGTGACGCGCGCGCTCTCCGTTCCGTGGTTATATCGTGCGAGGACCTTGACGCGCACCGCGTACTCGGTGGCCGGCAAAAGCCCGTCCACAACAAAGCTCGTGCTCGTCGTTGTTCCAGCGGTAGCAAAGTCCTCGTTGGCGACACCGGGGGCGACCTGGACGAGATACCCAGTGATCGTGTCCAGTAACCCTACACCTCGATTCGTCATGGGTTCTAGGGTTGGATGATACCGGCGGGTGGCGGGCGCCAAGTTAACATCAGTGCGTGTGGCGTCGAGGAGACGGTAAGGTTTTGAGGTACCAAAAGCGACGGCGGTGGCATAGAGAGTCGTGACGTATACGCCTAAAACGAGCTGTCTCATTGCCAATAGCGCAAAGCCAATGTGTAGGTACCAGTGCGCAGTTGACGTAACCGGCGCCACCGCCGCCCCCCGCCCCTGCCAAGCCGCCCCCACCACCACCGCCGCCGTAGAACCCACTGCCGCCGCCGCCACCACCGTTCTTGCTGTCCCCGCCTTGACCACCGTGGAGGTGATATCCGTTCGATGAGACTACGCCATAGTTCAGAGGCGTGACCACCGCGACGAGCAACCGAAGTGGGTATGACATACCAGTTGTAGTCGTGTGGCGGTACGAGCTCTGTTGTCCGGGGGCGCCACCACCCTGCGACGATCCACCGGCACCGGGTAGCGCGAGCTGCGAATAATCTGCGTACGGCGAAAACCCAAACTCAATGTTCTACATACAGCAAAAGTGAGCTCACCGGATGTAGAGAAGAAAGCTGCACGTTGTCGTGGGCGGGTCGACCCGTAAAGTCTCGGGTGTCTCCATACACAAAGTGCGAGTGAAACTCGTCTCGGCTGCAAGTGGCAAGTGGTAGTTGCAGGGTGGCCGCCGTGACAGCGACGCCTGGTGCACCATCGTTGCCACCTCCACCACCGCCGTTGGAGCAGCAATAGTCCGTGGACCCGCCGCCGCCACCGCCCGCTGCAACCACGAGAAGTGTGTCTCCTAAAACATTCAATGTCGTCATCGCGATCGACGATGTATGTAGTCGTCCCTTACCCCGCTGCACAGTACTGGCACCGCCGCCACCGCCACCGGCAAAGTCACCACGACCACCATAGCCCCCACCACCGGTACCGCCGCTCCCTCCGCTGCGATAGCCGCGCCCACCACCGCCAATCGTGAGCAAGAAGACGTCGCCGGGTGTGACCGCGAACGGCGCCCGGCCAAACCCGCCGCCACCACCGGCGCTGCACGTTGGACAGACCTGGTTCTTGCCACTGCCTCCACCCCCACCCCACGCAAAGACGTCGATGTACGCCCACGACGTGCCCGTGTCGGGTGGGGGTACTGGAAACGTCTACGCCAGACAATAATGTGCATGGATAGAGCGAACTCAACATGACACAAAGCTCCACCTGAGTTGTACCCGCCGACACGTCGAACACGAGCTCTTGAGTCCGCAGTCCAAGTGTCGAGTAGATGTGCAGCACGATCAATCCATTCTGTGATTGAAGGTCGGGTGATCTCGTCAGAAGTGTTGAAAATGCTACCTGGCCGTCGTTGCCGTCCACGCCGCCATTGGCAGTGCCGCCCATGTAGACCAGATCGTCGGCATTTGCGGCTGCAGATGATACTGTGCCCAACAGAATGCAACGGGCGTTGGGAAGCACAGTGACGTCGTCTGGCGGTGCCGGAAACTCGCGCCGGGCGCTGCTGCGAACGATGACGGACACAGCGTCGGCGCTCGCACCGATCGCGTTGACCGCCGCCACGCGAGCAACGTACCGGGTGTAGGCCTGGATGTTGGCCAACTGCACGCTTGTAGCGTTGGTGAGCTAGGGCATTTGTCACCACCCGTCCAAACAACGATGGTATACAAACTTTCAGTTCTGTCCACGCCAAGCCATGCACCGGTTTGTACGCGACGCGGTATCCGAGGAGCGGTGACCCGCCGTCGTCACTGCAGCGACCATGGGGCTATGGGAATGCCAAAAGAAATAGCGTACGTGGGCGCGGTGAAGGCGAGCGTGAGCTCCTCCGGCGTCGCGGTGTTCGCGACCAACGTGACGGTCTGGGGCGGTGACGGCACCGACGCTTGTGTCATTGCTGTTAGCATCGGGCCCATTGGTCCTAGACCGACGGCATTGGCCGCTTGCACACGAAAGCTACGACATGTTGGCGAACGAGGTTGGTACACTGACACAATACAAGCAGGTGGCATGGGCCCGCAGGCTTCCGATCGCGGTCGTTGGCGACACGGTCGTCTGCGTCGACCACGCCGGATCAAAGTCGCAGTGGTAGCCGACCGCGTAGGCAAGAATGGGCAGCCAATCGGGTGTCTTTGGCGCGTCCCATGCTAACGTCACACTGGTGTCGGTGCTCGAAACAGCGTGGAGTCCGCGGACAGCATCCGGCACGCCTAGCGTCATCAACTAAGGTAAACAAAATGTGACTTGGCATTGGCGTAGCTACTCTGAGCACACGTTAGCAGCGCGTCGGACTCGATGGACCACGGTCCCGACCCCTAGAAGCTTGTGAGGGCATCACATAGAACTGTGAATGTACCGCGGCGTTCGCGGCTCGGACGCGCACGATGTAAGACGTAGCGTTGCGCAGTGGACCAAGTACATAGCCGCAGCTTCCTTCGCACATGGGCCCATCGCCACGGTTGAGAAGCACCGCGACGTCGCCGTTGTCGAGGTTGCTGCTGCGGATGCTCAGGAGTGGCCGTGGATGCTGCTCATGGAAGGTCACGTGCCACTGGTACCCGCCGTTAACGTCCGGCCCGTCGCGCGCGACGCGGACATCGCGAAGGTCTTCGATGGCTTGTAGCGCTTGGCGAACTTGGTCGGCGGTCGCCTCGTACGAGAGGTGAGGCGTCGACGACCGCCCTAAGGTCATATAACGTTAGGCTCACAAGCGAGCTCGACGCTGCTTAATGTACCTGTCTCGACGTCGATGTTGACGACGCTGTCGTAAGAGCTAGAGAGCCGAAAGTACCCGCCGGCAATGACTGACGCTGCCGAGCGGCCCGTCGAGACGATGGTTTGCACTTGATACGCCGGGTTGGCCGAGACGCCGCCCGTGATGGTGTTGGACGCAGTCGTCCATTCGATCGAAGACACTGCACGGTACTGCAGTTCGTAGGCGACGACGGGCCCACCGTCAGACCTACACGAGCGCGTTGAGCATGGCGGACGTCTCGATCATGGCATCGGACGTGGCAGCCGGCCACGTCGCCTTGAACGCAATCATAGGCAGCGTGCACATATGGCGCTCTAGCACCGGCGCGGTAGGCACCGTAGGAAGCATGTACGCGGCTATGGAGGCGACGAGCAGAAGCAGCGCGGCGCCATGCCGCTTCGACCCCATGGAAGCGGATCTATCCATTGTTTGAGGTTTGACGCGGTATCGAGTTTGAGAGTACATTCCGATGACGCGGCACAAAGATTCGAGATGGGTTGGAGTTTCGCAGACAAGGCCGGCGTTGACAACGGCGCAATCGTCACGTTGTGGGTGCCTTTGCGGAAGCATAGGACGCGCGCACCATCTCCAGAGTACGTTATCTCGACCTTGTACCAACGCTAAAATGCTCTTCCTGGACGGTCGACGCGAGCATGACCCCTTTCCTCGCCCTGCTTCCTTGGCGAAATTCCCTCGTTCTGGTTCAGCCTTCCGACGAGCGAAGAATCAGGGCGTCACAGAAGCGTGCGCACTTGGCGTCTATTTTGTTGCCCTCGACCGGAGATTCCCACTGCCACCAACATCAACTGAACTTACCGCCACCGCCTTTTTCACACGTGTGTGTTTTTGTCCGCTGGTGTGCTGTTTGGCTTGGCTGGACACACGCCACTTTTTGGTGTTTGATGGCTTGGCACTTTGCCTTGCATGACAACAGAAACATGTAATGCACCACCCTGTGCACCACCATTCAACAGCTCGATTGCTTCCCAGCCTCGTCGCTCTGTAGGCGACGACGAGATAGAAGTTACGTCGCTTCAACCAGAGCGGCTTAATGGGCAGCAGCGCTTCAACAATCGCGCACCGATCACGGAAAGAGGGTGGTTGGCCACCGCGCCTATCAACACGACTTCACCCCACTGACATCACCCCGCAATTTATGTTTGTTGCCGCCTGGATGCTACGTCGATCGACGAGCTACATGTAGATCGATACACTTCAATGTGCGCACAGTGAATAATTTGCGTGCATTTAGCCTCCCGTTCGCACACGGTGAAAAGCAATTGGCTGCTGCGATCGCCGGCCACGACGGCGCTATCCCACTGTGCAGATTCCATGGCGACGACCGATCGAATCTGCAAAGATTCCAGTCGTGACATGTGGCGACAAAGGTAATTTGAACCTACACAGGACCACGAAATGGCTCAAACCTTATGTTGAATTGTTCCTCTAACGGCGACCCAGTTCTTTGTGAGGTCCCATCACAGGCAGCCTCGGCGGTGCACGACATCCATTAGTGAGATTCTACCGCACGCTGTATTGAATCTCTGTTTCAAGCTCAAGAATCTACGGCCGCAAGCCACTCGGACCAAGAAAAGACGTAACACGCCAGAGGCCCTGCCTGAGGCCAGGGAGATTGTGTGCCGAGGACCCCTCTCCTCACTTTTCAATTTCACTCGATCATGTCGACACCGATCGAGCCCGCGCAGAACCGCCGCGAGGTGTTTGCCAACCTCGATCAGGCCACGTTCTCCAAGGCGCATCTCCGTGCGATGCTTGTCGCTGGCTCTGGTTTCCTCGTCGACTCGTACGACAACTTTGTCATTGGCCTCATCGTGCC